CCCCCCCCCCCCCCTCCTCTCCCGTGGCCCACGTGAACGTAAAAGTACGACCACGCACGCGGGAAGCACTGAAGCACACCCTCCCTCACTCCTCTCGCCTCCTAGGCTAGCCTAACGTGTCGCACACAGTCGCTAGGCTCCAGCTTAGCCTAACGCCCCGTCGCTAGGCATCGTCAGGTCGCGGTGTAAGGGTGAGGGGGGAGTCGCTGACGGTTTGTGCTGGGCCCGCTACACTTGACCCGCGTAAACACACCGCGCAACACGCTAGGCACTCCCGTGTGTCGCCGATAGGCTAGGCCTTTGTGACAGAAAAGGAGGCAAGAGCGGAAAAGGGCGGGGTGAAGAAAGTGTGAGTGTGTGTGTGTGTGTGTGTGTGTGTGTGTGTGTGTGTGTGTGTGTGTGAGTGTGGGAGGGGGGGCATACTGGGAGTTACACAAAAGTGGGGTGGGGTGGGGGTGGAGGGGGTTGGGGTGTGTGATTTTGATAAAATTTACGACTTGTTGAAATAATAAGATAAAAATCGACTTCAGGAATGCATGGTAAATTGGTGCTCTGCGACAATCAGGAATTCCAGGCTAGGTTGTGTCTGGCCTCGTCTCACCTTATCGGAGTAATTACATCATTATGTCGTCGTTGTCATGGAAACACATATTGATTACAACATGGCGGGGTTGGTAGGCCGGAAGGTGTGTACGAGGTGTTTCGTCTTCGTCACGCTTTGGGCCGCCGAAGATTTTTGAGACGTAATCGTAATTCTACGATGTTTTAGGAGGCGGGCTGCTTCTACCCTGTTTGCGACGGCCAACCCGGGGTGAGAGGGATGCAATTTCCCGGTAAGCTGGTGTGGGAGATACCAGAGGGAAAAAGTGTCCTCATTCGGGAATCAAACTCACGCTTTCTGCTTTCGACGGCAAAGAGCCTAACCGCTAGGCTACAGTCGGAGGCAGGAGTGAGACAAGAACAGTCGTCGCTGTACCCACGACAGCTTAGTTTTATAGTAAGAGTTTTACGGCACTTGCAACACAAGTAGGTCATATTAATGCCGACGATTAAAGGTGTTACTAGAGAATCACATTCAAAGAAAAGAAGGAGCAGAGATAAGGACGATAAATGTTTGCTAGAAAAGAAGGAGAAAACCTCAGCAAAGCACACACCAACCACCCACTCACGAACATTTGCGTGTTTTCATGTAGCCTGCAGTCGAGCCTATCTATGACAAGCATCCATTCATTGTCGGAGAGAAAAGTGGTCGTCCTAAGCAGGTGGTCCCCTGGACAGTGCCATTTTACAAGCATTAAGTTAGAACAAACATAACAAGGGGAAAGTAGTTGTTTGTACAGGGTCGACAGTTTGGACAGGTGGTCGTTAGAGCAGGGTCGACTGTATGTCTCAAGGTTACGTGGGGCAAACGCCACACTTTCATATGGGCATTTAGGTCTACGCCACACACAAACAC